GAAGTTAAATAAGGTTGTGCGAGACAAGCAGCAGTGAGTTTTTAGATGATAATCCAAATGGGTCCAGGTCGAAGTGCACAAGTAAACCAGTTATGACAGACAGAAAAAATGAAGGGACGCCACAATGTCACGGCTTTGTAAGAGACATGTTTGTATCTCCATCTTCAAATGGTAAGTCAATTGGTAATTTTGATAGTTGTTATTTATTAGTTGTAATTTAAATGTATCTTTCAACGTCATAAAACTAAAAGGCAGTTTACGATAGAATATAACCGTTAAGCGAGAAGTGAAAATAAATATTTTTAATTGTTATTTTCAGAAGTTTCAAGCATTACTATCGTAAAAAAACTTCATGACATCCAATTTGAAATATTGGAGATCCACAAGATTTTAAAACGCGTAGAAGTGTTCATGAACGCCATAGTGAAAAGAGTAGAAGACTCTAATCTTGCATGCTCTACAAACCAGCTGAAATATGCGAATATGTTTCCCTGTACCACCCGGAATGAACTGGAAAATATTAATGCTGAAATCAGAAATGAAGCAAGCAATTTCAACGAAGTGGTTAGCTACATATTAATTGACATGATTTTAACATATAGATTCTTGGATGAGGTTGCCTATAGGAGAAATCTATCAAATTTTTTCTCATCTCGTTTTTAGGTAAATTATTTATATCTTTTGGGCGGCTCAAATACACATAAAGCAGTGTACATCATGACGGAGAAAATTTTTGATCGAAAGTTAGTCTTACTATATTCTGGTTAAGGAAATAAAGGAAACTGCCGTTCTGCTGTCTAAAACTATTTGAAGCCATTGTGGGTAAGATAGTTTATACTATTTCCGGTTTCTAAAATCAGAAACTAATAATAATCTAAAGAAAATTTTATTTTTGTGTTAAATAAAAACGTTAACACACGTTTATTTTTTAATTTTTGAAATAAGAAGAATGAATTACTTGTCATTCAACCAATTGGTGCCTACGACGTCATTAGTGTTTTTTTGTTCCAGCTGCCACTGGTAAACAATATGCCACCGATAGTGAAGACAAAATAAAGAAATCGGTGGCCTTATTTCTGAAGATATTTATGTTCATCAACATTTTATACATGGAATAATAGTTTTCCACACTAGGGCGAAAAGTAGTTATTATTTTAGTTATTTATTATTAAGTGTCTATGACAAGATAAGTAAACAACTTATTTTATTTTCAGTGCAGACGAGTCGCTAAATAACCAAATGGAGCAGGATCCTGAAAGTTTTTAAAATTATACAAAATGGACACGGTACTCCAACATTTGTTTTTGTGTTGTGTGTTTTTTTGTTGTAAATAAAGATTTTGTTCAAATATTGGGTTTATTTCATAAAAATTGTCATACTTCATATTGTACCGTGGATGGCCGAGTATTAAACTCTTTCTTCAGCTTACAACTTTTATTCCACTCGGTACAACTTTAACTACGGAACAGGAACAAACTAACTTCTAAATGAATGTCAACTTCACTAACGATAACAATAACACACGGAAAACACGGATTTCCGACTCGCGGGTTTAACTTCTTCTGCACTCAGGCGCGGCTTGTCACTCTTTTTCGTCTGGTTCTCGTCGTCGCTTATATCCTTTTCTCCAGGTATTCCAGATAGTTCTAGAAATCTCCAGAACAGGTGCGAAACTTCCCGCTTGTCAGT